TCCCACAGGTGGATGCTACCCGGTCCTATAAGGTCACTATGAGTCAGAATTGACTCAATGACAGCGAGTTGTTTTCAGTTTAATAACATCAATGAATGAAGTATAATAAGCACTTTCTTCCAATTCTCTTAATGATCTCAGCGTTATCTGTATTTTATAATAAAAAGAAAAAAGTTGAGTTACCCAAGACCAAACATACTAGTAGTAATTAGTTCATTCAAGCTTGTTAAACTATACAATTCACTTTTGGAGCCACTGAAATAAAACAAAATTGGTGAATGTAGTAGTCAGCTGAGAAGACTTAGAAGGCCTTGCCTCACAGAACAGAGTTCACAGAACAGTGAACTTCTATTAGGATGAGAGAAAAGATTGAAAATGGATAATAGTAATGGTTGGCCTAGGCAATAATTTCAATGTCACTGAGCTTGTACATGTAAAGGATTCTTCATGGAGGACAAAGACAATGACTAGAAAGCCAGAGGGTGGAAGTGCAGTAATTTATGGCTCTTCTACCCGTAGTCAGTTTTTATTATTCCCACTAAATGACTTTTCTCTGTGAAAGAAGGTGGAGCAAGATACGAATTGTATTCTGTAATTCAACTATGAGTGAATGCCCATCCTACGGGGTGTAAAGTGAGACACCTCGAAAGTAGGGAATGGGCTCCTATTACCAGCAAGCGAGCTGGCAGACCCTGCATCTGGTTTGCCTTTCTCCCCGGACCCTCTGGTTCTTCGCTCCTGAGCTGCAACCTATCCTCTGTACTGATTTCACCAGCTTCTGCAGCCTTCCAAATGAGGAGTATCCTCCAGACGAATGTCTGCATTTGGATTTGAGACAGAGCAGCACCCACAACTACATGAGCCATTTTCGTTGTGAGTCCTGGCTGGCGGTTGCCGTGATTTGCAGAACACAGGAACATAAGGAAATATATTAAGGAGAGGCATGATGGCTGGTGTCAGATGATGGAGACACAACAGTCTGGAAAAATTGGGTGTTTGGGACGTATTCAGCCTCTACCTTCTTGGGACTAGTATTGTATTAATTTTTCAAAAGTACATTGCTTCTACATTTCACCAACACCAGCATTTAAATGCATTAATTCTACTCAACTTTTCATTGTTCACTGTCCAATTTTCACATGAATATGATGCAATTGAAAATCCTATGGCGTGGTCCAGACACACCTTACTCCTCAAACTGACGTATTTACTCTTCAACACTTTTAAGAGATCTTTTGCTGAAAATTGGCTCAATTCAAGTGTGGTGAAGTGAAAATTTTAATATGACTCTTTTATTTATCATATTTTTTGTGATGTATCATAAATTCTGTCCCCTATGCTAAGGACAATATTAATGTGAGATGCATTATGGGTTTTCACCTTATTAGATGGTGTGAATTAAATCACTGCCCTTTGTTGGTGGTGTGAATTAAATCACTACACTTTGGGGGTCTGCTGAAAAACAAATACCACACTTTTATCAAAGCCATTCCTCTGGGGTGTAAGAGAGGCAATGAAGAAACAGAGAGAGAATCCTGGGACCATCGGAGGAGAAGAACCAGCAGTCAAGTACATTAAGATCCCAGCATAAAGTGGTAGAGGCCGAGATCAGTGGCACCAGAGGGGTAGATCTCACGGAAGAGGGAAAAGAAGCCAGGCCAGACAAAGCCAAAGAGACCATGAGGCAGTGAGGTGGAGGAGCAGACTTGCACTTCACGATAGATCATGATCTGCTCTTTTTAATGATGAAGGTGACATCATTTCCCTTCAAGCTGTCATTCCTGACATAGTAAAACACATGATTTCCAGTTCATTTCACCTCAGGCATGCCTAGAATATCGATCAATATGGATTCCACTGTATTTTTGACAATTTCTACTCTTCCTAGATTCATATTTCATATATTCCATATTCCTGTTATTAATGGATATGCTCAGCTATTTCTTTTCATTTTTATTCATGCCCCATCAGCCAATGAAGGTCCTGCGAGCTTTGTTCATCCATGTTACCAAAATTGGCTCGACTTTGAAATGTACAAAGGCCTAGAGTTAGAAAATTAAAAAGGAAGAACACACTCAACCTGTCTTAAACTGAAAAAAATGAAGAAAAATTCAAGACTCTAAGTGCAATATTGAAAGATTCTAAATCTACAGGCAAACTATTGGATGATTCAGGAAGCCTTGCACTCATCATAATCCCACTAACACCTCAGGTGGAAACCAGAACTCTCAGTGACAAATGTCCTGTTGTTATTGTGAGACCTGGTGTGACAGAGCAGACCTGCCCCATAGGGTTTTCTAGGCTACAGTCTTCACAGATGTTCACCAGGGCTTTCTCCTGGGAACCAGGTGGGTTCAAGCCACCAACCTTTCATTTCACAATCAAGCACTTAACTGCTGTGTCACCTGGGCTTCTGGAAAATGCCTGACTCCCAAAAATCCTGTTTGGACCATAGCTCCTCAGTCTGGGAGAAACAAAGGAATACAAGTATCAAGATGAAGGCAGGTATGTTGGTATAGACACCAAGACTGTAGAGCTGGTTCCAGAGATTTCCAAAAACAAAAAGAATGTTGGAAAATAAGAAATCAGTATGATTCATCAAAAAAACAATTGGGACCTTGAGAACAAGACATAATTTACCTCTGATGAACTGGAAGCAGGAAGATGAACCAGGATGCATATCAAATATACTGCTTCTAGGCTTGGCCGGCACCTGTCTCTCTCCCAACACTACATCTTTCTCCAGAATCCAAGCAGCTTTCCAAATTTACACTCCTTGACAGGGATGACATACTTATTAAACAGGAAACTGTGAATTATTCATGCTTACTTACTAAATGGTAGTGAACAGTTTCACATGGTTTCACCACACCTGTGAAACTGTTCGTTACAGATAAATAAGTAAACACAACTAAACCCATGCTTACCTTGCTTATTGGGGAGCCTGCTTCTGTGTTTTCTCTTTGAGGAAAATGGAAGTTTACCTTCCGAAACCTTTTCAAACAGTGTCCATGGGTCTCTTCCCAATACTGATATCCTTTCACGCCTAATTTGTATTCTTTAGGCTATATAAATCACATAACCTTAAGAATAGTCCTTGAACACTGTGAGCCACGATAGCAGAGAAGGAGGAGGTAGGGAGGCCGGTGTCAGAGATAATGGAGAAGTGGGAAAGTGCAAATTGGATTAATCTCTTTATCATCACTGACTGCCATGGAGTCAATGTTGACTCCTGGTGATGCCCTGTGGGTTTCCAAAATTTAACTGTCTCCAGAAGTAGAAAGCCCAGTCTTTCTCCCGAGAAGCTGCTGGTGGTTGTGAACTGCCAACCATGCGGATTGCATAACCACTACACCACCAAGGCTCCATCTGTATCATGAGGAGGATCCTTATCAGAGATGATGATTTCACTATAAAGAGCATGGTCTTTTTTTAAAAAAAAATCAGTTTATTGGGGGCTTATCACAATACATACATACATACATTGTATCAAGCACATTTGTATGTCTGCTGCCGTCATCATTTTCAAAACATTTTCTTTCTACTTGAACCCTTGGTATCAGCTCATTTTCCCCCTCTCCCTCCCCCACCTTCCCTCCCTCAGGAACCATTTATAATTTATAAATTGTTATTATTTTTTCATCTCTTACACTGACCGATGTCTCCTTTCACCCATTTTTTTATTGTCTGCTCCCCAGGGAGGGGTTTATATGTAGAGCATTGTGATTGGCTTCCCTCTTCTCCTCCACCTTCCATTACTCTCCTGGTATCCTTACTCTCAATATCAGTCCTGAGGGGTTTATCTGTCCTGGATTCCCTGTATTTCTAGCTCTTATCTGTACCCATGTACATGCTCTGGTCTAGCCAGATTTGTAAGGTAGAGTTGGGGTCATGATAGTGGTGGGGGAGGGAAGCATTAAAAAACTAGAGAAAAGTTGTATGTTTCATTGGTGCTATACTGCACCTTTATTTGCTCCTCTCTTTCTTGTGACCCTGCTATAAGGGGATGTCCAATTGCTTACAGATGGGCTTTGAGTCTCCACTCCCCACTTCCCCTCATTCACATTGATATGATTTTTTTGTTCAGGGTGTTTGATGCCTGAAACCTGATCCCATCGTTTCCGCATGATCACACAGGCCAGTATGGTTTTTTCATGTGGACTTTGTTGCTTCTTAGCTAGATGGCTGCTTGCTTGTCTTCAAGCCTTTAAAACACCAGATCTATATCTTTTGATAGCTGAGCACCATCAGCTTTCTTCACTACATTTGCTATGCACCTATTTTGTCTTCGTCGATCATCTTGGGAAGGTGAGCATCCTGGAATGCAAGGTTATTAGAACAAAGTGCTCTTGCATTGAAGGGAGTACTTGAGTAGAAAGGCCATGGTCTTTATTATGCTCCCCCATTGCCTCCTAACTCTTCTGATTTCTCCTCTAATTCAATCCAAATTTAACACTATCAACGATTACTCCCCTAAAGTTCACATCTGAATGCATTACCTGCCAGCTCAGGATGTTTACCATAGTACACCATGGCACCCAAAGTCTTTAGGATAATGTGTCAGTTCCTTTTTAGCCCTCCTTCAAGCCATCTTTTCTGAGACTGTTGCTCCCAAACACCATCTTTTCCCAGACCATGGACAATCTGCCATTCTTAACACATCTGGAAGATCACTAGTTTTTTTGTCCCCAAATCTATTTCTATTGAATCAATTCCAACTCATAGTTACACTGTATGGCAGAGCAAAATTGTCCCATAGAGTTTATGAGACTAAATCTTTACAGGAGCTGACAGCCTCATCTCTTTCCAGTTTGAACCAATGGACCTCACAGGGCCACCAAAGGTCCATCTAACTGCATTCATATCACCATCTTTTCAGATAGCTGCTGTGCATTAAACTACAGAAGCACCAAGGTTCCTTCTTGGCTAGCCTAATAAATGATAATTGACAGCTATGAACTTTTGGTGAAGCAAACAATAGGAAAATTAAGAGACCCCTATGGAACACATATATTTAATGACAAGGAAATGAGTGGTTTCTTTGTTTAATGGTTATTACAAATAAAGGTGCCTACATTTCAGGAGACTCAAACTTTGCTTTCTTACAATGGTGGGATTTTTCATATTATCATGAAATTTCAGTTTGTGCCAAATATTTTCCTGGTTTTTTTCCCCCCTTAAGGTCTCAATAGTTCTTCATATCCAGAATTAACAACGTTGGAGTTTTTCTTGGCACTCCGAGGCAGGAAAAGCACGCCCTAGAAAGAATAAAATATAGTAATTTTTCAGACCTCAGTCGGATTAAATTTAATATATATTTCTTTTTATACCACTTCCTACAAACTTTGTATACAAAACTCTTAGTGATTCAAGACTAATAATGCACATTACTAAGCAGTTCAAATACTGACAGTCCCTAATTCCAAATGAGATCTGTCTTTAGTAGGTCTTTAAGTCAAATTTGCAGATAAGTGAGAACTGGTGCTTATGGTTCTAATTAAGACCCATCACATGCTCCATTGGGACCTGTCTGCTCCTATAAAGATTTACACTCTCAGAAATCCTCAGGAGCTGTTCTACTCTCTCCTGTAGACTTGCTGAGTAGAATTTGACTTCTCACAGTATACTTGATTTATTTGATTTTTAATTTCAAAGAGTGATTTAAAAGCTGTGCACACAGTACCAAGGGGAGGTGATTGTGTTGATGGATGTGTTACAAGCAGGGATTGGTTCAATCTTTTCAAATAAGGGCAAATGAACATAACATTGTGGTCATTCATGACCCAGGGATTTTTTTGTAATTGCTAATTTTCAGTCTAGTGTTCATTAGATTTGGATAAAGTAATTTGATCCAGTTACTCTAGTATAATATATAGGTTTATTGTGCCAACCTGACCAATAAGAACATGTGGGATTAATAAGGTTGGAGTTTGATTAGAGGGCAAAGAGATACATGGTTCAGTAAGGCCTGCCCCTCTTTCTTGCTTTCTAGTGATAGGTCCAGTGTGTGGCTGCTTTAGCTAGTTTTCTGCCTCAACTTGTGAGCTACACTACCTGTGGCACAGCCAACCCTGGATTATGTCGCTAGAGCTTAAGATTCCTCCGAGACCTGCTTCACCATGCTGCTGGTATATACATCGCTTGAGCTTGAGGCTGGTGGATCCTGTTGTCTGGCATTGCTTGAGTTCAATATCCCATCTGGGCCTGCTTTGCTAAGCTCCTGAGCTGCCAACTGATGGTGACCTGCCCTGCTGTTTTCTGCCTGCAATGCCCAAGGGTGGACTCAGGTGTCTGCTTCTTTGATCTTGGACCCAGAAGCCCTCATGATTTGAGGAACTTCCAGTATATTAACTGTTCCACAGATGTGAGTTGAACTGAGCCCTCTGTAGTTCTGTGCGGACTAATTAGCTGTTATATTCCTATATACATATATGGAGAGAGAGAGAGAGAATATATATATATATTAAGTGTCCTGGTTTTGTTTCTGTAGAGAATCCTGCCTAACACATCAAGTGCTTGGTTGTAGTAAGACGATATTACATGGGATTTCATTCAGCAATATGTCTTTATATTTTTTATATATAAAATGTATATATTTTACTTTATATATTTTAGGAAATATATATTTTAGGAAAATATATATATTTAGGAAAATATATATATTTAGGAAAATATATATAGGAAAAAACAATATAATTTTAAGATGCCAAGGAATGAAAATTGGGAGCACAGGGCCCTGAGGTTACTGTGTACTATCAGTCAACACTGACTCATAACAACCCTCTGAGAGAGAGTAGAACTTCCCCCACAGTGTTTCCTAGGCTATGGCCTATCCAGGAGCTGATTGACAAGTCTTTTCTCCCACAGCGTCTCTGGTGGTTGGTTAACTATAGAGTGGTTAACCATCGCATCAGCAGAGCTTCTTACAGGCCACTTACTGAATCACAGATGCAAATGCCCTTTACTAGTCAAGGCTATTCCAGAGACTTGTGGCTGTGGTGGAAAGGTGACAACCCAAGTTCCTGTGACTCAAACACAGGCAGAAATCATGACATCATGCTGGTCAAGTCTTGGCTTCCCAAACCAGTTTCTTTATTTGCAGAATGGGAGAATTGGACTAAGTGATTGCTCTGATTCAACTCTGCTGGTTCGCCACTCAACTACCCTCTGCCCTGCTTACTTACCTCCTTCCATGATACCATGTGTATTTGATCACCAAGCAACTGTCCCGCCTGTTCCTTCTGCAATGCTTGTTGACATAGGTCAACACAGCACAGCTGTTAAGGTGCACCAGGCAAAACTCCGTGAGGCCAGCCGGCATACTCACCCCTGAGAAATCAGAGCGTGTCTGTTTCCACCAAAGCACAGTAGCAAGCGCACCAAGAGAGAACTCCAGCACAGTGAACACCAGCATCAGAATCAACAGTCCCTGAAATGCAGGCAATCAAAGGTCAGTCAACCCTGAGGGTCTTGTTGGCGGGAGATTGCAGAGACAAAGGGTGCCTTTTCCATGAGGGCATCATCACGAAGAGAATGCTGCTCACTGTAAACCTAGCTATTGTCTCCGTTGAATGAGCAGTTTGCTCACTGAGAAGAAGGGTCTCCTCTGAAGAGTAATTAAGTCAACCCACTTTATACATTCGTGGCTTGACATTAATTGAATCAATTAATCGACTTCATACATTCATCTTGCCCACAGTTGAATCAATTGACCTACTATTTATTGTCTGACTTCTCTGAGACAAACCTGGTTTTGATCATATTGCTACTTAGGAGCATAATTAATCTACTCCTCAGGACTCCTCGGAACTGAGGAGCGCTGGCTTTCAGTCTAGCCTCGCCATTACCACTTCAAATGGCTTTCTGAGTCTGGGCAAGTCTATCATTTTCTTGCTTCTGTGCCCTCGTTTGTCAAATGTTTACAAGAACGTTTCCTTCTCAGAGATTTGTGATGAGTCCCATGAAGATTAGACTGTGCATGTCCTTAAGTTTTCTGTACCTTTCTTAATTTAGGAGAGTGAGAAAGAATAATCAAAGTAAAAAGGTGAAAAATTTCCTAACAACCCAGAACAACTAACCAACCCACAAAAGTCCTGTATCAAGAGCTGAAGTCCTACTATTTCTCTCCTAGAGCATCTTTTATGATGTAGAACTGGCCACCTGATAGAATATGGGTTTGATTGATTGCACAAACCTCTAAATTATGTACACACAGGCAAAGAAGGGATGTAAGTTACCCATACTAGCTAAACAATGTCCCTGTAAACAAGCTCAATAGAATCTCTTTTATTGACAATGTACAATTAACCCCTCTTGAATCCTCACTTATCCACTCCACAAACCAAACATAATACACTGCTATCGAGTTCAATTTCTGAAACCTCAAGTCTTTACAGGAAGAAATAGCCTCATCTTCCTCTCTTAGAGAAGCTGGTGGGGTTTTAGCTGCTGATTTTGTGGTTCGCAGCCCAACACCCATCCACAGTACCACCAAGGGCTCCCCACAAAATCCCCCTTCTGAACTCCTCTCCAGACTCACTCCCACCCACTACTCAACCTTTATAACAATTACTAAGTGGTGCTGCTTTACACCAGTTACTATCAACACATATGCAAATGCCTTCTCTCTTTCTAACCTCATGAATTCCTGGAAAAGCACCTGGGCCAACCAACCAGGAGTAAGGTGGAAGCGTGAGTGTCACCCAGAGCATTCTATCTAGCCATCATCCAAAAGAAACCTCAGTTTATCTCACATTTATGGTTATATAAAGTCAATGGTCCACGTCTTTGTGTTGTTCTTTCTTTTCTCAATGTGTTGTTGACCATAAATCTGCCCCTTAATATTTCAACTAAAGACATATTATTCCTTTTAGTGAAACTTTGTGGTTTACCTTCTTCTATTCTCTTCTTCATTCATTGTTTTCATTTCCTTCCAAACACTATCAGTTCACATCCCCATGTAAACTTGTGATTCTTATCTGATATATATATATATATATATATATTTAAGTCCACCTCTGAAAATTAAAATGAAGGAAAAAAAGGTGTTCCCTCCTCACCTGATAAATTCTTATCATCACTGCAAACACAAGAAAGAATAGCCCTCATTGTCAAACCTCTGCATTCTTCAGTACTACTGTGTTTCTCAGAAAGTAAGACATCCCCTGAAAATAAGACCTACTTACAGGTTTGCCTCTTGCTGAAATATAAGACACCCCCCCCAATAAGACCTCCCTGAAAAATAAGACCTCCCCGAGAATAAGACCTCCCCAATAATAAGGCCCCCAAAGCCACCTTAACTCTGGACCCTGGACCACAGTGGTGGGCACCACCACACAGCTCGCTGTTGGCCGCAGCGCAGCCAGAGCAGACAGGAAGTCTGAGGTCTCTTTTAATCAGAGAGCTTGTGCCACCGCCAGGACAAGCTGCCACCTGCTGCTCGCTCTGGCCTGA